GGAAATCCCTGCACTCTGGCGAGGGTTGCTTGCTGTAGCAAGTTTGTGGAGAGCATCTCTGAGCTGTTCTCCCATCTGAATCAGGGGAGAGGAAGCCTAGCACCCCGCGTCTGACAAACTGCAATCTCTGGGACTTGCCTTGAAGCAGGACACCTGCATAACTGCCCCCACGGGAGAGCTCCACCTCCTCACAAGTGCTTCGCTTGCTGATATCTTCCTGCCAAACAAAGGACCACAGACATCAGGGAAGGTTTGGCTGCTGAAGTATGGTCAGTATTTCCTGAAGGATAATCATTTATTCCACAGTAGCTTTTCCTCAAGTAACATAGCCAAAACCAAGGACTTACCACTTCATTTAGGACTTTAACGAGAAGGAGGCTGTCCTTGCAAAAATAAAAGAGATAAGCAAATCCTGGAAAAGATAAACAAAGGTAAGAAGGGGATGGAAGGAGAGGGAATGGGGTGAGGGGTAAGTTCAGGTCTTGATAAAACTGCAGTGACAGCTTATTCAAGAGGGAGTTGGTAGCCTTAGGCATCATCTGTGGTTCTCAGGAGACTCATCTGCACCTTCTTCCCCTCAAAGAGACTTGTATCCAGCCCTCCTCCCAGGAGGAAGGGTCTTCAAGGGGGAGAGGAGAAACAGGAGGAGCTCCAATCATTATGACACACTTTTCCTCAACTGGGTTGAAAGCAGATAATCACAAGAGACTGAAATACCAGGGAATCTGGGGACTCAGCAGCTTTGCTAGTAACTCCTAGCAAACGGCATTTCACATCACTCCCATGCTCTGGTTGGGAATGGACATGTTTAGTTTGGAGAGCCCTGCAGGGATGCAGCATGCACCAAAGGGATCCACTCAGATCCAGCTCTCTTCTAAAGGAAAGGAAACTGAAGGACATTGCTTTTAGACTGGATTCAATCATCAGAAGCTAAAAAGCCTTCCTAGGGTTGTTACATCCCTGGATGGCTCAGTGAAGTACAGTGGCCAACTAGGGGGAAGAAAACCCAGGCTATGCTGACAATGCTCCACAGACCTCACAGTACCACTGGTTAGTGTACTCACCTCAGTGCAATGCCACAGGCAAGCTAACTGGTCCTTCTGAGAGGTAGAGCTAAATAGCCTTGACACATGATGATGGCTTGCCACTCTGGAGGAATTTTACAGCTACCTCAAGAACTGGAACCAGTATAACCAGGTTGATACAATACCAGGCAACACCACACTGCTCCCTCTGTGGAGGGAGATGCTGCCTGGTACTGAGGAGACATTCTGAGGAAGTAGTGGTGGGGAACTGACTGACCCAAGGACATTTCTTTCAAATATGGAACAAAAATCTCACTTCAAAAACTATGCATAGACTCTGGGACACAGCCCTGAGATCTGGAACCATCCAGCGTAAAACAGGACAGCAGGTCACTACACAGTAAGGCCAGCAGATTCCACAGGAAGTGAACAGATCTTTCTTGACCCCCATAGTGCCTCATGTTGACCTCCATGGAAAAGGGTCTCCTTTGAGGCTCAGCAACACTGCTCCTTGAACGGCCCAGGATCCTACTAGAAAATAACGAGAGGCACTGAGAGCTCTGCTGCCCTGTACGCCCAGCCTCTGCCACAAAGTTATGAGGCCATCCTCACTCTAACCATCTGATCTCCCTGGCAGCTGGACCCTCTATTATATTTATTGGTCACATGTATTTCCTTCTTATTTTAGCCCTTTTTATGTAACAGATGCTTGTTCCCCACGCTGTGACCCCCATCTCTTTATGGTACCTAATCCCTCCCTCTAGAAAGGACTCTGAGAAGCCTGTGTGGCACGGACCCATCTCATCCAAAGCAATGAGGACGTGGTTCTCATTCCTGAGGTCTGAGGCATGGATGGCACAAATCTCTAGCTTGGCTGCCTCCCAGGCACAGACCCGCCTACAGTCAGCTGCACTGAAGGCTGCGAGTCCTGTGGAAGTCCCAACAAAGATGTTTTTTCCAGATGCTGCCAAGCAGTTGGCTCTTCCTGCCACCTGTGGAGAGGAAAAACAAAGAGAAGGAACCATAATAGACATATGCAGCCACTATCCTGACAGAGGGACTCATCAGCAACATGTGGCAGTCTCCAGTGAAGGCTCCAGATCCCAGATCAAGTCAGAATGATTTGCAGTACATGGAGCAAAAAAATCGCATGTGAGCCTGCACATACCCTTCTCACCAGAGATCCGCCCCATGTCAAAGGTGAAGGACAACACATGAAGCCTCCTTGTCCCTGAGGGGGTTGGAAATAAACAGAAACCTTCAATCTGGAGGCACCTTTGAACAGCACTCAGTCCTTCCCTAACACAGCTGTGTGAGGGGGTGCTTAGCATCTCCATGCTCTTGAGATGACTGGAGTCAAGTGAAGCTATGGCAAGAGTCTGCCCCAAGCAAGAGAAACTCAGAATCAGCCCTGAATGTTCAGCTAGTCTGCTGAAAAATGTGGGATTACAGAATATTCGTACACACGTCCTCCCTCTCCTCTAGAGCTTCCCACATTTGCCTACCCACTTCAGCCTACAGCAAGAATGTAAGCACTGCAGACTTGGTAGTCTGGTCAGCAAGCCCACAAAGTCCCCACACACCATGCAGCTATTCTGCTCTGAACCATTTCTAAGGTATAACTTTAAATCACAGTTGAGTTTGTCTGCATTATTCCAGCTGACTCATCAACCTCTCCATGGTAAGCAAGGGTGGGGTCACCCTGAGGCAGAGAAGTTGTGAGTGGGCTTGATGCAGTTTCACAGCTGCCTGCCCTGTTTCAGGGCGGTGTGGTGACAGACTCTGAAGAACAACCTGCCAAAACATCTTAGGATCTATAGCTTTACAGAACAAGGCTTGAGAGAGAGGGAAATGCTGGTGGGCTCCCACAGATTTGAACCAGACAGGAAAGGACGCAGAAAATCAGCACACTGCTTGACAATACCACTGCAGAGCCAAGAGCTCCCTGCACTGTGAGGAGTTTCTGTACCTTGAAGTCACCTGTGGGCATGTACTGCGTGGGCTGGACCTTCAGTTTCTGTGCTTCTCGGAGTGCCTCTCTTTGCTCAATGATTTCCAAGGCCTGGTCAAACACCAGATTCACCATTTTATTGATCATCCGGAAGGGCTGAGGCAACTGATCACGGGTTTGATCAGGATCTTGCAAGAAGAAATTCTCCTCCTCATCCTCTTTAATCCAGTCCTTTTCAGACGGCAGAGGGATCTCGAGAGGATGCTTCCGGATGTACACGGGCATCTCTGTGCCTTCTTAGATGTACTGTACAGAACAGAGGATCCACACAGTAACCACAGCAAGTGGCGAGGACTGCACAACCCTGCAATGAATATGTTCATAAGGTAATGGAAGAAACAGATTTTAGCATCTAGATAAAAAACTCTTAACAACTTCCTGTCCATTCCTGATCTGTAGGCCTCACTTCTCTTCCCTGTTACCAGCCAGGCTGCCTTTCACAGCTCACACCTCCCCTGTGGTGACAGGGAGGTACCTTCCACCTTTTTTTTCTTTTTTAAGGAAAATTATTTGTATCCCAAGTCATATCAGCCAAATCAATTCCAAATCCGTGAGTCACTCAAGAACTGTATGTGGCCCTACTAGCTGCAAGCATCCTTCACCCCCGCCTGGGCCTTCAGGCGCTTCCAAATCCTTTGGCGAGCATCCTACGTGCAGACCCAAGCCCAGACACTTGGCGTTTGGATGCCTCTGAGTTTCACTTGCCCTCAGCCATATGGCCACAGGAACAAGCTAGGAAGAAGTCTCCCATTGCCATAAAGTCAGCCTATAGCCAAGATCTTCCCACTAGAAGTGGAAGGGGGAGAGTAATTATGCATTAGCTTCTTGGCCTCTTGAAGGCTCAGATCAAGCATAGCCTGTGCTCACCTAGGGGAAATACTGTGATCACCACGATGGCTTCCTAGTCATACCCAGGGAAACCACTCTGCTGTAATTGGATAGTACCCGCATAGGTGATGCAGTTAACTTTGGCTTTATGCTCACTCTATGGAAATGGGAGACTTCTCCCTAGCTTGCTCCTGGGGCCTTACGGCTGAGGGCAAGCAAAACTTGGGGGCATCCAAACTCCAAGCCTCCAGGTCTAGGCCTGCAAGTAGGAAGCCCGCCAAAGGTTTTGGGAATATCTGAAGCCTCAGATGGGGGTGGAAGATGTTTGTCCGTAGTATGGCCACTTATGGTTCTGGACTGACTTGTGGATTTGGACTTAATTTGGCCAATTTGGCTGGGAATACAGAAAATTTAAAACAAAAAAAAATAAACCCCAAAGTGGGAGACTAAATATGCATTACTTCAGCCAGGGTACCACCCCCTGCCAAGAAAGTGGTGTTCTCCTGCCAGTCGGAAAACCACCTGCCCAAATACGCAGGTATAAATGGTCTGATTTTGCTCTGCAGATTTACGGGGTTTGGGCCTACCCTAAGGTAAGAAATACAGCTCCGGTGAGCACCTGCCCAGTTCAATCGGACCCGGAGGGTCGCGCCACACGCTCAACCCAGCGCCACGGGTGAAGATACACCTCGCGCTCAGGCCGCGCTGCACCCACGATGCGACGCCGTGTCCGGACGTGCCGTGAGCTGGTGCACGTCGAGGGGCAGGATGCTTATGGCCTGCCCGGTGAGGGGCCGGCAAGGACCCCTGCTCTGGGTCTTGGAGGGCTGGGAGAGGTGCATGCCGGGATGCTGGAGGAACGTCCTGCCGCAGCCAGACCTGAAGTGACCCCGAGACGAGCTGGAAGCACAGCGGGGTTACCCCTCCCCTACAGAGGCTTGGGGCCCGCGGGCCAGCCCCGGCCTTGGAAAGCCCCCGGGAGGTGGGGCTCGGGGCCAGAGGAGCCTTATTGGAGAGGGGAAGGGAATAGGGGCACACCCGCTCACCCGGCCCGGGGTGGTCGCTATGGCAACGCGGCGGTGCGCCGGCGCTGGGGTCGGGCGGAAGCAAAGGCCGGGGCGGGAGGTTCCGGCCTCCCCTGGCCGGGGCGGAGCGCTGGCTCCCTCCCTCACTTGCTCCGGCCCGGTGGCGGCGGCATGGAGGCCTTCGTGCTCTTCACCAACCAGACCCAGGGCCGTGACCGGCTGTTCCGGTGAGTGCAAGCGGCCTCCGCCGGCCGGCCTGACCCCGACCGCGCCCCTGACCCCGACCCCGCGTGTGCTTGCCTTGCAGGGCCGCACAGTACGCCTGCATGCTGCTCGGCCACGTGCTGGAGCGCCGGGCCGGCCCTGGGGCCGCGCGGGCCGCCCTCCTCCAGCTGGAGGCCAGCATGAGCTCCGGCCGCAAGCGTGAGTACCGCCGCGCCCCGCTCCCCTCGTCCGGGGGGGGACCCCGGTGCAGAGCGGGGAGGAGGTGGGGTCGGACCCTCGGCGGGGATTGCCCCTCTGCAGTCCGCGGGGGTCTGGAGGAGCCGGTCTGCCGGGAGGGAGGGGAGGTCCGGTCCGGCCCCCTCCCGTGGGGCAGGGGGGCTGCTGTGGCACATCACCCAGCTGAGGGGACAGTCCAGTTGTCCTCTCTCCATACGAAACGCGATGTCTTCTGTTTTTCTCTTGACAAGAATCCGGATGCCTTTGTCCTCTGTTTCTCTCTTGAAGAGAAAAACAGAAGGCCATGAAGGTGTTGGGTTTTGTATCAACAGAGGACAGAGTAGCAGAAAACCTGGATGTCCCCTAGGGTGGCTGCTCTATGCCCAGCTGGGTTTTGAAAACCGAGCAGGCTGTAGCTGTGTTTGAAAGTGTCTTTTGTGATTGGCTTCAGTTCACAGCAACTCTCAAGGGACTGGGGTGCAGGCACCAGAGATGTGGGTTTTCTGGAAAACTTTCTGGGGAAATGTTCCAGTGCCCTAAAAAGAGCAGGATCTGATTTAGCATGTTTATTTGACTTGCATTTAGTACACAAAACTGAAAAAAAGGACCCCTGTGTTCATTTTATGCCCCAATAGCCACATGTATTTGAACTGAAATATATGATTAGGAAAAAAATGAAAGGCAGCACACTTAATGTGGTTTAACTGTTCTGTTCAAACAAAGTCAAAGCTTTATGTGGAAAGAAATTATTTTTATTGGAATACTTGTAAAAATGTAAAGCCAGTACACCATTGCATGTACTTCCCTTACATTGTTTGTTTAAATTTAAGGGAAAAAATGAAGGCACTGAAAACTGTTGACACGCTAATTTTAACATACCCATATTATGTTGCAGAAGCGGAAGAATTATTTTAACATCTGGTGGGAGAGAGTCCCACACTTTAATGACATCCTCTTGGTAGTTTTAAATTTACTAACCAGTTCCATTTTGTGGCCCCTGGTTCTTGTATTGTATGAGTGTAAATAGTAAAATCCCTATCTACTTTCTCTTTGTCATTTAGTATTTTGTAAACCCTTATCATGTCTCCCCTTGAGTGTGTCTCTTTTTTTTTTTTTAACTGCATAGGCTAAGCTGCTTTAGTTTCTCCTCGTATGGAAGCCCCTTCAGGTTTATGAGAAGCAGCAATGAAAGGCTATATCTTTTGTGTGGAGGGAACAAGCTGCAAAAAGATGTGGCTGAGGAAACACTGAGTTTTCAGAGTGATCAGAAAGTGAATCCTCAGCCTCCCAGAATAACATAGAGGTGAAATATGATTAGTACAGTATCCTCTCCCTGTGAGAGATCCGAGTTAAAACCTGCTCAGGTTAGAGCTGAAATCAGCTTAGTGGGCCTCTGTCTACATTGTTATCTCACTGGCGTCACAGGACTTGGTAGTAATTGGTAGTAATAAATCTGGAAAGGCTCAGAAGTAGCAGCAGTTGGTCTAAATCACTTTGGCAGAGTGGACATCAGCAGAGCTGTGTAGAGATGCCAGGACTAGAGCACATGGGATAGAGTAGGCCATTATTGTTGTACACCACGAGAACTGCACGATATCTCTTGTATGTGCTTTATTTTACTTTTGGTCTCTCACTTCTGTGAACTCAAAAGTTACCTCAGGTGAAGGTACAAATCCCCAGAGGGTTTGGTAAGTTTTTGGAGAATATAGCTAGATGTAGTTGTATTCCAGAGCAGTACGTAGTGTCTCCTCCCTACAAGTTTCATCTGTTAGAAATGCACTTGTTAGCTAGCACGCTGTGTTAACCTCTGAGTTCTCTTGCAGTGTTCAGATTGGGCAACATGGTGCACGCCATAGTAGCAGCCAGGCAAACCATCCAGCTGCCAGACCCGATACCCCGCATCTGCTTGACGGCCTCCAACCTGACCCGTGCCCTGTATTTCATCTGTGACACAGTCCTGTGGCTGAAGAGCGTTGGTCTCCTCCCTCACGTATACAAATGGAAGTGGCGGAATTGGGCCACTAAGTGCTATTACTATTCACTGCTGATGAATCTGACCAGGGATTTATATGAGATCTCCTGGCTTCTGGAACAAGCTGCTGAAAAGGAGAAGGCAAAGGAGAACTCCTTTCCTTGGGACACACAAGACCAGGACCTGATCTGCCTGGAAACTGAACGGCAGTCACAGCCATTTCTTCTCCTGCTGTATTGCACACTGAAGAAGCATCCTCCTTTGTTGCTAGACACAACAAAGAACCTTTGTGATCTTTCTAGTCCTTTGGACCGTCTGGGCATCTACAAGACCAACCCAGGAATTATTGGGCTCTGTGGCCTCCTCTCCTCCTTGGTAGGGATCCTCACGATAGCAAGGCCTCATCTGAAGCTGAAATAATGACTGGAGAGCAGTGTGGTCATGCACTGTGAGCTGACAGCTCAGTCTCTCTGCCTGGTTTTATTCCTAGGTTAGCACTTTAAAGAATAAGTATGTTTGACAATCACTCCTCAAACAAGGGCTAATCTCTGGAGGAGTTAGTTATACTTTTTCTTCATCCCGGGCATCCTTGCAGGTGGGGAACTGCTTAACGCTGTGACAGATTGCACAAGAGAGGAGACGGGAGAAGGAAGAGATGGAGCAAGGACTAAGAAAAAATCTCTCTGGATTTCTGTCACACGCTGTTCTTCAGAGAGATTGCTGCTTGAGAAGGGAGATGTTCCTGTACTTGAGTAGAGTGGTGTTAAATTGTTACATGGGCAACTAATATATAAGCCATAAATAATGGTGCTGACACTGGATGGGTAGAATTCAGTGATCAGAGGCTTATATAATCAAATGTCTGTGTCTAGCATGTTCAGGCATGTTGGCATCAGAAATATTCTGGGGCTATATTTCCAGTAGCTTAGATAAGTCAGTTCTGTGAAAGGATAGGATGTAGTGAGCCTGCCATCTCTAGGCATCAGTTCAAGTCCAGCTCAATCTGGTAGGAACTGGAAAGTTGAACTATCAAATAATATAACATGGACACCATTGAAAATAGGTTGGCCTGGATCCAGCTCCTAGTGAATAAGGGTCCACATGCCAGAATCCACCACCTCTCTGCCCTTACTACTGACAGTGCAAGGCCAAACCTTGCTCAGGCCGTGCAATCCAAATTACGCTCCAGAGGGGTCTTCTAGGTCTGAGAGGGCATGTTGGCAAGGGGGCCTGTGTGAGGGAAGCCTCAGTGCTGCTCAGGCTGGGGATGAGCCACAAACTCCAGTATGCACAGCTACCTACCTGGCATTGCTCAAGTGCTGGAAATGTCACTGTTCCTGGGAGTGTTTGAAGCAGGAGGCTGCTGGACGCTCTGCAGGAGGGTGGCTAAAATACGACCTATAGTAACCTCCATTTTACTGTGAAAGTGCATCCATAAACACCAGCAATCCTAGCATGGTGGTCTGAGCAGTCAGGATCTCCAAAGGTCTAATATTTGTCTCCTTGCTGGAAATTAAATGGTGGCCTGATTTCTTTGTTGGGAGGTTCCTGGGCATGCACCTCATCTCTCTGGGGCCTTGGAACTGCTTTCTCTTTTGCTAGGGTTTGACTAGAGTCTGAATATAGTGGAAAACTTAGTAAACTACTGAAGTGGCTTCTAGCTTGAGTAGCTGCCTTCTTGTGCCAAGAGGGCATAGTGCAAGGCTGAGCCAACCTCTAGTGTTTCTCCTTCTAGGGCTGGGGCTGATGGGAAACCTGAAACCCAGGAGCCAGGCTGGTGGGTTGCCAGGCTTTCCCTGAGGCTTCCTGGTATGGAAGAGGAAACCTTTTAAGTGGATTTTAGAAACTATGACACAACATTCCTTTTCCCAGCTGGAGACTACGATTTAATGCACCTTAATGTAGCTTAATGAAACTGAAGTAGAATTAACGACATGGAAAGAATCCTTTTAGTGCCTTTACCTTATCTACCTCCCATGTACCAGTTGGATAAGGGTGGTGGCTGCTGCTGTTGTACTGTATCTGGAAAACACAAGCAATAAATTGTAAATGAGATTGAATCTGGGTCTGTTTATAGATCAGGATATGTGTTGGGAGGTGCTGGGGATAAAGTTCTCCCCCTCCACCCCTGTTTTATAAAAGGGACAATGCCAGCAAAGATGTGCTGCCCCTGCCTGGCAGTGGTATTACAGAGTTGTCTTAAGGGCACCAAGGAAAGCTCCATTAGACTCATTGGGGTTTTAAATGAGTCCAGCTTCACATCTGAAGTAGGTGGGAGGTGAATATAACTCAGGCACTTGGCATCCCTTGTAATGAAAGGCACCAAGGCAGATGCTGTTAAATGGAAATGAGCTGGTCCTGTGCTCAGAGTAGGTCGCGAGAGCTGGAGTCTTCTGGCCCACAGGCACTGTGACTGTTACAGCAGCAGCTGCATCTGGATGCTGGTGTTGTATTTAAACTTTTTTTTGCCTAGCTGGGTCTTGGATAGGTGCATTGATACATTGGTCCGATATCGGATCTGTGGGGGGGCTGCAGGTGTGGGCTGAGGCCAGGGCTGTGCTGGGTTCTTCCTGGAAGGTTGGGCCAGGGCTGCACTTGGGGCAGGTGGCGGCACTGGGAGGGAGCTACAGCAAAATTTGGGGAGGCTGCAGCCCCCCTGTAGCTGCTCCTCCCCCACCCTGCGCACATGCTGGGAAGAGCCCAGTGTGGCCTCAGCCTGCATCTGCAACCCACCCTGCCCCTCTGGCACAGATCCAGGGGAACATGCCTCCCATGCCCTCCCAGGGTGTGCACAGGGGCAGGAGCCACCCTCCCCCCACACCTCCGGACGAGCCATGGCTCCATCTCATGTCCCGCCCTAGTTGGGCAGTGCCAGCCCCATTCCTCCCTCATCTCAGGGGCCTTAATCTGCCCCCCGCCCCTACCCCACACACGTTCCCTCCCACTCCCCTTCCACTAAAACAGTCTTACCAGCTGCATGCAGCTGTATCGGAAATATGCCGATATACCTCCTTAAAAATAGGCTGTTGGTGTCAGCCACCAAAATCTATCGGTGCGCTCCTAGTCTCAGAGGTCCAGGGTGAGCAACAGTGGCTGCTTTACAGCACACAGGTGTTTGGGACTGGAGGTGAAGCAAGGAGGCCTTTGCGCTGCAGAAGTGTGGGGATGGATGAAGGGACACGAGTGGCCTTTGCCCCATGTCTGGGTGGAAGCAATGAAGTATGAAGGCATCATCAGGGCAGAGGTCTTGCTGTCTGCCAGCTCCAAACTAAAGCCAGTGGGGTGGGAGGATCAGCCACATGTTCCCCCCTGAGGGGTCAGTGGTGCTTTCACCATGCTTTACCGGATCCAAGAAAAACTCCATTGCCAAGTGCACAGAAGAGCAGCCACTGCCCTTTGCCTTGCTGTCTGGAGACAAGTGACTCATGCTAGGGCTGGTCTGGAAAGTTTGCAAAGGGTTTCACTGCCTTTCCTTTTTCACCTCCATTTGGGGTGGGAGCCCAGCCAGCTTGCAGATCCTGAGCTGGAGCATTAATATTTAATCCCTGTGCTCCTGAGATTCCTTAGGGTGGGGTGGTATTTTCCCTAAGGCGCAGAGGTTGAGTCTTCTACTCCCCTGCCTCCCTGGCCTCTTTCATTATCCACTCCCCCCCTGTCTTCCTGGGCATGTGTGTGTGTGTATACACATACGCATGCATGCACATGCCTCTTTTATTGTCCAGCTCAAGGGAGCCTAAGCACTGTGACTGTTCAGGGGCCTGCACTGTGCTTCCAGCTTCTCTGCTAGGCTGGGGACTGAAAACATGAATCAGCCACTTGGCAATAGGAGCTTTTGTTAGGGTGGCTGATGGCCTCCTGCCCTGTCTTCTGCCCGGTGGTTTAAAGCACCCAACAGCATCCTGTCTACAAACAACATTTCTGCCTCTGTCAGCCATTACTGCTTCCTGGATCTTTTGCATCTCTAAGCCCCTTTTCATTATTTCTCCATCCTCTCTGCCATTCTTCTCTCCCTCCACCTCAGTGTCTGTGAATTGTACCCTTTACTTCCTGCAAGAGGCATTAAACAAACCCAAACTTATCCTTGCTCATTATGACTTCCCACTAAGCCCATCGCAATCCAATAACATTGTCTCTAACTTTGTCCTCTTCTAGCCAGTTTACAACCCACACACACAACAGTGAACTATCTTTTCAGGTATGATTTTCAGTTAGGGTGCCCCAAATCTCTAGACCTGTAACCACCCCTGGCACTCCACTGAACTACTGTCAGGAAAACCTCCAGTAAGTTCCCCTAAGCCACATTTCTAAACCAGCATCACCTGGACCAGAAGCAGTTGACAGGTCACAATCAACTGTGTTCCTCTCCTAGAAATCTCCCCCTGCATTTACCTCTGGCTAATCTTATCTGCAAACACAAATCCAACTACTGTCACTATGTGAGATTCTCTACTCTATATCCATTTCCTTCTGTCCTAACTAAAATCTCAGCCTCTCTCTCCCATCTCTTCATAAAAGCCAAGCTCTCAGCTCAAGCCCAATACAAGTTCAAAAGAGCTTGTAATCTCTCCCCTACCAAGCCCTCCCTTTCTTACCGTCTCATCCCCCTGTTGGCTCTCTGTTCTGTATTACATCAAACATAGTTGACTCGTCTACACTTTCAAAGCCCTTCCCAGCCTTTTCCCACCCTTCTTATTATCTCTGTTAGCATCCAGAAGTCTGCTCCTACCTCATCATAGCCAGCCTCCACTGCCCATTTGTTAGGTTTGTCAAACAAGCACTGTCCCACTTCCATGCTGTCTCTCACACTTGTGAACATAGGCACAGCTGCCGCCCTTAAAACTCACCATTGCCAAGATGCCTACAAAAATATGACAATGGTTGTTGTTGGTGCAGGGAGATCAAACCTGATTACATATATGTCTCACTATTTCCTTGTAACCCCTCATCTTCTTGCCAATTGTCTTACACTCAGTTTGTAAATTCTGGGGTCATCTATTCTTCAGGGATGATGCTCAAGGGCAACCAGCATGGTTTCATTAGGGGCAGGTCATGTCAGACCAACCTGATTGCCTTTTATGATCAGGTCACAAAAGCATTGGATGCAGGTGTCGC